GTAATTGCCGCACAGGAGCAGGAGGAGCCAGGCGCTCTGCAAGTGTGGCACCGCGGGAATGCGACCCAAGAGTTCGTCGTGCTTCTCTCTGACACGTCGCAACGCTCCCGCGATGTACGCGGCATGCCCCAGCGGCGTGCCCAGGACTGTGATGCCCTGCTGGGCTGCTGGCCTCGCCCAACTCCCTGCCCAAGCGTCAGCGCGCGCGGCGGCGGGGAGCGCATCCAGTAGTGCACTGGGTTCCTCGCCCGCGGCATTCCATGCCCGCGTCTTGCCCAAATGGACGCGGATGTTCGCGCGCTCCCAGAGCGCTGTGCCGAGGGCCGTAAAGGCGGGCCCGGCACGCTCGGGCTGGCAAGTGACATAGATGTCGTCCAAGTACGCGTCCAAGTCCTCCCCCGGGGTGAAAGCCGCGTGCGCTTGCAGCAGTGCGGGATGCTGCCCCATCGCGTATAGGGCGGGCATGAGGGGATCCCCCTGCTCGCCTCCCTCGCCTTGTGCGATCTCGTGCGCGGCACCCTCGGCGTCGTAGAAGACGTAGGCGCTCGGCTCAGCGTAAAACTGGGCCACGAAGGGGAGTAGCGCCGTGAGGCTGGGCGTGTGCTGCAAGCAGCTCAACATGCCCGCGCGCGAGATGTGGTCGTAGGCCCCGACCCCGTCTCTGAGGACCGTGGTGCGGTCTCGTCGTCCAAAACCAAACGGCAAAACTCAGAAGTGTAGCCAGTAGGGCCTGCTGCAGCTCCTTTCCTGGCCCGCCGCAAGTTGCCAAGGGCAGTGGAAGCAGTTAGAGCGACAGGGGGCGCAGGGAAAAACTCCAAAATCGCAGGACCGATGGGCTCGTAAGGTTGGTCGGGTCGGCGGGCGGGGTAAGGCAACTCCGCTAGGGTAGCTGGCGAAAGCGGAGCCAACGGGCCAGAAACTAGAGCGGAGCTGGCGGCCTCGCTAGGATCTTTCTGCTCGGCGTGGGGGCGGGCGACGCAGCGCCCACGACGGCCAGCGCAACTCCAGACCGCCTTTTGTTTTTCTTCTCCTCTCCCGCGCCTTTTTTCCGCCTGTTTCTGCGGCGGCCTCCGGATGTGCTTAAGGGATAGCCATTTGTATACCGGCGGCTCCCGGCTGTGGCTCGCCGCCCGGCAGGCGCGATGCTCCCGCCAGCAGGGTCGGCCAGCAAGTCGCCGAGGGGCGGCAGGGCAGCTTCAACGAGAGTGAGCCGTCGCCGACACTTTTGCAGAGCTGGACATCTTCGAAAAGCTTTTGCGGCCCGAGCAGAAACGGCGTTATATTTGTGATGTTGCGCAAAGCAAGTTACGCGACGCAGCCGCGCGAAATTGTTTTTTTGAACAACGCGGCTGTTGCGATCACGCAAGACCGCTGTTGTAGCGACAAAGATGCAAATATACAGAGGGGTGTGGGGAAAAAACGCCAAAAAAGGAAAAGCACGAAACAAAACACCGACGGACAACCAAACGCACGTCGACGCAGCCGCGCAGCTGGCGACCCATCGCGGCATTCAAGATTTCCTGACAAATAAAATTGCGGGCGCTTGCGTGCCCATTTGCGCAAACGAACGCCTCCAGATCAAACAGGTTCCAGGCCCGAACGTAGAATTCAGGGAGCTTTGCTGGTGCTTGGGACCATTGTTGGGAAGTCTTTGCGAGCCTGGGGCTAACAAAAAACGTTTGCAGTGGCGGCTCCTGGCTGCGTGGCGGCCACCGGCCTGAGCCAAATGGGTCGCGATGGGCCGCTCTCGTGAGTTTAGGCGGGCAGCAACACGATGTCGTGACGCGCCTTGCCGCTTGTCGTTGCATGGC